GGTTTAGGATTAACATGGTGAGAGAAATTCATTATTTTATTTGTATTGTGCAGATAAAAAGATAAAGTCCTAGTTCTGCTCGGCTTGCCCAGTAGTGTGTTGTTTTGGTGACCCCTACATGCATTTACAAAATCTGAGCCGCACTTACGTATGGTTGATCGAATCAGAGTTGTTCATGAGGATTGATTCTATACCCCAGATTTCACATTATATAGGACTACTGGCACGATTAATGTTTTGAATAATTTTCAAGCAAGAGCTATAGGTATATATGTGTTGAAAATGGTAGACTGAAGCTCGTGGTCGGCCTTAGACCCTTTTTCAGGAGAGATTTAGCACTATTTTTTTAAGTTTACAATTCGCTTCAAATGCTATTCCCTAAGTAATTATATCTATCCCTTATTTGTATTCTTTTATCAACCACGGTGCATGTATTCTTTTCTTCGGCGTGACGAGCGAACGTTTTAACCGCTAGGCTACCCGACCTCCCCTTCTTAATGTGAAGGAAAGCACGAAGTGATGAAAGTAACAGTGAGTGAGTGAGTATGGTTTGACGCCGCTTTTAGCAATATTCCAGCAATATCACGGCGGGGGACACCAGAAATGGGCTTCAAACATTGTACCCATGTCGGGAATCGAACCCGGGGCTACGGCGTGACGAGCGAACGCTTTAACCACTAGGCTACCCGACCGCTCCTGCAAGTATCAGATGTTTACCACTCACATGAGCAGGGGTATGGTGCGGACCAACCCAGAAACATAATGTGGGTGAACCAGGAATCGAAACCACAATCATAGGTTTCTAGCCTGCCCAAAGGTTGGTTGGTTGGTTGGTTGTTTAACGCCGCACTCAGCAATATTCCAGCTATATGACGGCGGTCTGTAAAATCGAGTCTGGACCAGACAATCCAGTGATTGATATCATGAGCATCGATCCACGCAAATGGGATTGATAACATGCATCAACCAGGTCAGAGAGCCTGACCATCCGATCCCGTTAGTCGCCCCTTACAGCAAGCTTAGTCGCCTTTTACGGCAAGCATTGGTTGCTGAAGACACAACTCACCCACCCACCCATCACAGCGAATTGCGGTGCTTAAGACGGCTGGGCCAGAGTAAGACCTAAGCGGCGATGGAGACCCGTCTGGTTCACACTGGTACACACTTATATAGTATACATATATCCATGAACGTCTAATGCATGTAATACACACAGTTTCTTATAACTAACACAAATGCGAATATCAATTGAAGTCGACTGCCCTTAAACTTGGAACCATTCTTCATTTAATAGAACCACTTTATAACATTGTTTATGGGATACAGTGAAGAGGCGTCCTATTTAGTATGGAATGTGGACAGTTTCTTGAAATATTGCAGGTATCAATGACAAACAAAACATCATTGTTACATGACCCGTGAAGATCCGGGATAGAATAGATCTTCAGCAACCCATGCTTGCAGTAAAAGGTGACTATGCTTGTCGTAAAAGGCGACTAACGGGATCGGGTGGTCAGGCTCGCTGACTTGGTTGATGCATGTCATCGATCCCAATTGCGTGGATCAATGCTCATGATATTAATCACTTGATTGTCTGGTCCAGAGTCGATTATTTACAGACCGCCGTCATATAGCTGGAATATTGCTGAGTGCGGCGTTAAACAACAAACCAACCAACCAACCAACGAAACATTGTTACATAACAACAGCAACATTAATCGCTTCTGTACTTACGACCTTGACCTTCAGAGTGAAAATGATCCCCTTCGTGCAAATGAACAGTTTAGCTGCTTTAATTGTAATAATTGCAATGTTTCAATACATTCAAAACACTCGCGCATGTGAAACATTATTCGTCTCTTGGAGAATATCCCAGGCTACTCTGATACCAGATTTGTTTTTTTTAAATTTTATAAATGGTTTTTGATCGATGGTGCATATTATAGAATGTTCTACAAATTTGGGAGTATGCACTTCCTTATAATTAATCAGAAAAATCGGCACACTAACTGCTCTCAGACACAATCAGCAGTTTGATCAACATTTACCGATTGTTTTGTCAAATGTCATCCTCATAACTATGATGTTGTTATGGGAAGAAGTGCATAATTATCATGGGTTATGATTAAATCACTGCACTTCCTCATTAAATGCAACTTTAATGGCAACTCATGAATATCTCTTGTTTCCAGAACAGGTTAAGTTTGAGAAATTTGCTCTCAGTGCAGACAGTTTCGTGAATAATACATTTTAATGTCTTGTGGTTTCGTTTGTTGTTTAACGCCGCACTCTGCAATATTCCAGTTATATGACGGCGGTCTGTAAATAATCGAGTCTGGACCAGACAATCCAGTGATTGATATCATGAGCATCGATCCACGCAATTGGGATATGATGACATGTATCAACCAAGTCAGCGAGCCTGACCACCCGATCCCGTTAGTCGCCTTTTACGACAAGCATAGTCGCCTTTGATGGCAAGTATGGGTTGCTGAAGACATATTCTACCCCGGAATCTTCACGGGTCGCAACCTAAAGATCTTGTGGCTGTCCCGAGACATACCTGTATCATCATGAATTTATCAGTCCTAGTAACATTTATTGCTATTATTGGGTATCGAACATACCACACACCAAAACACAAATCACATGATTCAAAGTTAATAAAGCGTTTACTAACGAAATAAAGAGTTTTACGGGCATTTATGTCTAGTCCGGTTCCCGCAGTTACCTTATTTATCACGCGCAGTCCAGAAACAACCGTCTGCGTCTTCTTGATTACAAAGCAACAATATGGCCGACTTCATCTACGGGAGTTTTGATATGGGCGATTCCAAGTCTGTTTTGGGGTTTCAAGCAAGAGAAACTGACATGCTTGGTCCTGAATTTGATGACTTAGATTTTCTGGAGGATTTTAATCTGGAAGAAATAGACAATTTTCTAGAAATTACGACTTCAACTACTCCAGAAATGGCAATGGTTTTACAAAACAACAAAAACCCATCGCTAGCACCGTTCATCATCGAATCGGAATGATGAAAGCAGGCAATCCACGTCTACAAAGCAGTCGGAATTGAACAATGGACAGATATGTTTTTATTATAATGGGTTATGGCGTTTGTCGCTTTTAAGAAATTGCTCAACCAGTTATGTTTTTGGTGTTTTTTGTAATGTTTGTAGATTATTTTATTTATATTTTGTTCCCACATGGAAGGGGGAACGATGGCTCAGTTGTCTGTCCATGGCGCCGCCATTCGCTGGGCAGTATGGCTGCAACGAATACACTATGAGGCGAATACGATTCATATCACGAATATAGGGTAACGAATACGAATATTAATTCACAGTTACAATCACAAGTCAGCAGTTTATGTAGTATTTATTATATTCAGTGAAGCTATAACATCATAATTTATTTGACATTGTTTGTTAATTATTAATATATTATACATTTATATACTGCACTTATCCAGGTACTAGTAACTGCTCAATGCGACAATGAGCAGTGAAAACAATACTATCAAATTAAATATTATTAGAGTGTTGTCACTGAAAGAAATCTATGCATATAATATGTTGTTATGGATATTTTTAGGTACAGGGTATGTAAATATATATGATAGCATATTCATAAATATTCGATTCTAGTGGCCATGAATAACGAATTCAATTCATGAATGGTTACGGTTCGATTCACCGAAAAGGCCAGTGAATCGTAACAGCCCTACTGGGCAGAGTTGTGTCCCTTGGGCACGCCAGAAAAAAAATTGTGGGTTCGAATCCCTGTTCACCCGAATTATGTGTCTAGGTTTGTCAGCACCATACCCGTTCCCGTGGGTTTCAGCGAAGTGGTAAACGTCTAAGAGTCTACATCATTTCGGGCTTTCCTCCAAAATAAAACAGACACGTCCTGATATAACAAGAATACTGTTAAAAGCGGCGTTGAACATAACTCACTCCCACGTGGAAATTGTTGGATAATATATGGTTCCTTTCCTAGCGCCTGCGTATGTGTTGCGTTGATCAAGTCAATGTTCCCTTTAAACAAACAGGCAAACAAAACAACTTCGAGTGCATAATTTCAATCTCAGATGTCCACTGTATGTGTTCCAGATATCAGTACTCTGTCAAGGCGTTCTACATTTTACACGTGAGATATTGACATATATATATATATACAGCATTAACGTTATTAATATTGTTTTATAATTAATCTTTTATAAAAAGTAAAATAGCTACAATTTTGTGATAGAGTGAAGTGAATCTGCACATGGAGACATGCAGATATTGTTATCCCCCGCCCCAACGAAGTTGGCGGATGATATTGGAATGGGTTCCGTGTATGCGTGCGTCCCGAAATCGTTTCCGGGGCATAACTCAGAACCCGTTAAATATTTCTCTATGAAACTTTGCATGTCTATCAGGCTCATGCTGAACTGGTACCTTTTCCTGTTTAGGAATTGTAGCAATATATATTTTTTTACGTTTCCATGGCATTAAGTTAGGCTTAGGTTCTATAAGGGTGATGTTCATTTCCGGAGCGTAACTCAAAAAGTGTGAAATACTTTCTTACAAAGCTTTGCATGTCTACCAGGCACATACTGAACTGGTGCCTTTTGATATAGGAATTTTATAATTTTTTATTTTTTATGTTTCCATGGCAACAAGTTGGAGGCATTTTCACCCCTGAGCTTATGTGAACACGTGGTCATGCATTCTGTCTGTAAATCACTGTCCTATTTTACAACTGCACCAGCTGTGCTCACGATACGACTGAAAGAGTTCAATATTGCCGCGGCATGGTATGTCGGAAGCCGAGAGAGGCGTGTTTGGAACCCTCGCAGTTATAGCGTGTGTTCGGGTACACTTTTTTATTGTTGATTTGTTTTTGAAAGTTCAGACAATATTTGTGAACCCGTAAGACCATATATTCTGAGTTCACGGAATTTCAATGTGTTCGAGTTGACAACACCTACACGTACCTGACTACAAGCTCGGATTTCATATCACGTTTTGGAACACGTTTCTGTTTCTCGATGTAACAGTGCGCCGCAACACGTCTGCAACAAAATGGCTTCTCAGGTCGTCAAAATGTGGAAAATGCCAATACAATAGTGAGTATTTGCCGTATATTTTAAAAATTAATTGCACTACACACTCGAAAAATGCACCATTATGGATAAGGCACGCATTACTTCAAGTCGTTACACATCCATGGCATTAAATTGAAGATATTCAGTTTTTGACGTGAACTGCAGATGTGCCTCATTATAGCGCAAGCCACGTATAGTAACGCTGTTCATTATGAAACCGGGTGGTTGTCCCCACCCTCCACATACCCCCCCGGATAGTTATCATGGATACGGAATACGTATTTTTCAGGCTTCAAGATTCATATTTTTAGTTCACCTAATCATACCGAGCATATTATATATTGCGGGCCTGTGTCTCTCGCCCATGGCCCACAGCAACATTTAGGTTATCGGTCTAGCTTGGCAAAATACAGTCTAATTTCAATGCACGAATGTTTGTTTGTTGTTAACGCGGCACTCAGCAATATTACGGTATACGACGGTGGCCTGTAAATAATTTAGTCTCAACCAGACGATCCAGTGATTGCCATCATGACACTTGATACACGCAATGTGGGATATGAGGACAAACAAACAAGTCACCATGCCTGACCACCCAATCCATTTAGTAGCCTCTTAAGACAAGCACATGTTGCTAGTGTAGCAGGGCGTGGAGTCATCTCACAGATGACATCCTTACCTTGTCAGCCTGCTGACGGGGTTAACCTCTTTGGTCATGTGGACAAGGCGTCCGACCCCGGATGAGAAGGTCCGTGGTTCGAATCCCATCGAGGGACGCGGAAATTTTATGGCCGCTACACTAGGAGCATATATTCTTAAATTTATATGTCTCTCTGTGTCTAATATTACCAATAAAATATAGTATTGTTGGGGCACGTGTGGCCTTGTTGTCAAAGGTGCTGCTATTCCCAGTAAGAGTTACGTCCCCTGGGTATGCCAGAAACCTTTGATCCTGGGTTTGAAATCCGGTTTGCCATGAGACCTGCATCACTTCAGTTTTTCCTCCCACTTCAAACTGACATGCAGTGATATAACAGGAATACTGTTCACTCACAAACTCAGATTGTATTGATATCTGGAAGCAGGATTCCGGGTTAGAATAGGTCTCCAACAACTATGGCGGTTGTTAGAGTCAGCCAGTGGATTGGGTTGTCAGGCTCGGTGATTTGATTGATTCAATTGTAGCAGGGTGTGGAGTCGTCCCACAGATGACATCCTTACCTTGTCAGCTTGCTGACGGGGTTAACCTCTTTGGTCATGTTGACAAGGCGTCCGACCTCGGATCAGAAGGTCCATGGTTCGAATCCCATCATGGGACTCGGACATTTTTTGGCCGCTGCGTTGGCGCCCAACATGGGGCTGAGCACGTTCATATTAAATTTGAGCAAAATATGCCTCAGTACCCTACTAAGCGGCCCGGGGCGTGCCTCCTGTCGACGGGGGAGTATGTAGCAGGGTGTGGAGTCGTCCCACAGATGACATCCTTACCTTGTCAGCTTGCTGACGGGGTTAACCTCTTTGGTCATGTGGTCAAGGCGTCCGACCTCGGATCAGAAGGTCTGTGGTTCGAATCCCATCACAGGGCTCGGAAATTTTATGGCCGCTACACAATCATTGTGCATTTTTGTACTCTAACGCCATGGATCGGTGCCCCCAATATCAATCATTGGATTGTTAGGTCAGTATTCTTTTTGCTTCATATCACTGTAATATTGCTGAGGTTTAGTTTGAATCATTTTCTTGAACATTGGCTGACGTCCTAAAAAATTATTTTTTTCAAATTTGGTAATGGTAGAGAAGAATGCACTCACAAAAACTGATAAAGCCCATTGAAACCCATGCTCACTTGTCACTAGCAAAATCAGACCACCTCCGTGGTCTAGTGGTAGAACGTCCGCCCGGAGAGCTGAAGGTCCGGGGTTCGATCCCCGGCCGTGTCATACCAAAAGACGTTAAAAGATTGTACTTGTTCTTACCCTGTCTGGCGCTCAGCATTAAGGGGCTAAAACAAGGACTGGTCGGCTCGGAGTCCGTATACTGTGTCTGAGTGGGGTATTCATTTTAGACTGCGGCATGGTATCTCAGTTGGCTAGCACTATAAATCAGCATCAGTCCGGACTGGTACTAGCAGCCACACACACACACACACGTACATGCACGTCGCTATATAAGTGCAATAATCTTGGACGCGACGTTAAACCCCATTTCACCTCAGCTCACCTCACTAACAAAATCACTGACAATTATCAAGTTTATTATGCACGATAGCTCGTGTGAGATCTGCATTATGACGTGACTGTAGCACAGGTTCATGCGATCAAAGTCGGTAAACAATGATCTGATTACAAAATGTTGAATATTTTATCCATCAACAACACCTGTTCCATCTATTGATATTCCGGTATTTGTTTGGTTGATCTTGAAAGTCAAGGCCAGTGTTTAGAAATCCTGCTTAGAAATCAGTGTAACCTGGAATAGGTGAGGTGAGGTGAAATGGGGTTTAACGTCGCGTCCAAGATTATTGCACTTATATAGCGACGTGCATGTACGTGTGTGTGTGTGTGTGTGTGTGTGTGTGTGCTTGTACTAGTCCAGACTGATGCCGATTTATAGTGCTAGCTCACTGAGATACCATGCCACAGTTTAACATGAATACCCCCCTCAGACACAGTATACAGACTCCGAGCTGACCAGTCCTTGTTTTAGCCCCTTAATGCCGAGCGCCAGACAGGGTAACAACAAGTACCATCTTTTAACGTCTTTTGGTATGACGCGGTCGGGGATTGAACCCCGGACCTTCCGCTCTCCGGGCGGACGCTCTACCACTAGACCACGGAGGCTGTCGTAAACTGGAATAATGTGAAGACTTGTTGGCTGTCACACCAGATGGCCAATCTCTTTGTCCCAAAGGGTGAAATTGCTCCTTTCGAAAGGACATCAACAGCAGTCCAGCAAGCGAATATTTTGACTTATTCCGTATGTATGAACCTCCCCTGTGGCCTAGCGGTAGAGTGTCTATCCGGAGAGTTGAAAGTCTGGGGTTCGCTCCCTGGCCTCGCCATACTAAAAGTAAAAGACGTTAAAAAATGATGCAGTAAAACAATCTGATAAACTTGGTATCACAATCAGATAAACAGGATATCGTAAGAGACGACTAACGGGACTGGGTAGTCAGGCTAGCTGTCTGGTTTGATGCATGTCATCGAATCCCAATTACGTGGATCGATGATCATGATGTTTATCACTGGATTGTCTGGTCCAGACTGCCGTCATATAGCTGGAATTTGCTGTCTTGACCAGACAATCCAGTGATTGACATCATGAGCATCCATCCAATTAGGATACAATGACATACATCTACCAAGTCAGCGAGCCTGACAACCCGATCCTGTTAGTTGCCTCTTATGACAAGCATAGTTGCCTTTAATGGCAAGCATGGGTTGCTGAAGACAAACAAATCATATTGCTGGACTATTCCTGAGTGCTGCGTAAACAACAAACAAACAAACAGTGTAATACATGGGTCAGTTCACTCTGACATTGTATTCATCATTAGTTTCTTTATTGGGTCATATTATGTCTTGAACATTGATTATTTTACGAATGACATGTGGTAACAAATTTATCACACTCCTGGGCAAAAGCTAAAGGCTGGCATCATCGCCTCCACTACCATCCCGAGGCAAGAGCATCCACTAGCCTTTTTATCAAAGTCTTGTTTCCACCCTTGCCACATCAAGCCCACTTTCCTGTGCTAAATATGATTGGACTATCGCACATATTGATAGTCCAATCAGAGAACGTTTTACAACATCAGCATCCACGACTGGAACACCTTCATATACAAGTGATTTACCGCGGCCTGTCTTTGTTGGCACGTCTTTTTCATCTTTTAAACCCAACAACGATTGCCTATATTTTTATGTCGGATGAAATCGCAATTTTTTTCTGAGATCAACTAGATCGTCGCCTATGGTAGTCACTATCTTTGTGAAGCTATACAAGATGAGAACTGCGATCTGATTGGATATCGCGTTTACATTACAAGGGGCACAACTCGTGATCTATGCGAGGTGGCGCCAGGGTCGAACCGAGGAAAGTGGCCTTGATGTAGCAAGGGTACAAAGTTGGCTCTGATATACATGATATAAGCTACTGGACACGCTTGCCTCGGGAAGATGACCATCTTTATTCCCAATACATGATATTTACGAACAGAAACACTTAGCTAATATCTCAATTTATCCAACAGTATTATATATTTCTGTATTCTCTTTAACAGGTTGAGGTCATGCGTTCGGCAGTGATGTGGTAATGGAAGATGAATTTGGCATTGTGAAGAGCACCTGTTCCATTACCTGTGATTTACATGAGCAGCCAGTGAAATTCTTGGCGCCGTCAAGTTACGTGGCGCCATATCCATGAGACCTCGATCCAGTTGATATTCATATGCTGGAAGCAGCCTGAACCTTAACCATACCTCAGTGGAAGGTTTGGTCGAATCAGGTTTTGCACTTTTTGTCAATAGTTCAGTTTCCATAGTAACAATGGAACATCCAGATACAGGTGAAATGGACCAGAATATCAACGTCAGTGAATCTGATGTTGCCCATGCAAATTATTCTAGCTCCCACGTGTCCAATATCATTTCACAGATGATCAATGATAGTGAACCTGAGGACACAGCATCGTCGTCTGGTGGTGGCGGTGGTGAGGTTGAGACCGAGATCATTGATGACACGGGTACCAAGTGTCATGTGTGTACTGTCTGCCAGAAGATCTTCTACAAGCCGTATCTCCTTCGTGTTCATATGGTCAGTCATACTGATCTCAAGCCATATGAGTGTGACATATGCCATAAAACATTTCGGCACCCGTCATCTTTGTCCATCCATAAAAAGATGCACACAAGAGAAGGTCTCGTGACTTGTGAAATCTGCGAGCAATTGTTCACAAGTCCATCGAAACTGCAGCAACATATGCAGAGCCACATTGCCAAACCGAGAGCAAGACGTGAGAACGGGCTTAGCTCTCCCTCAGAAGCGACAGAACACTTATCCGAAACTGAGAGACTTTCAGCTATAAAAGCTTATGGTGTCGAGTCTTTATATTCGAATATGTCAAGTGAAAAAAGTTTGGAACAGAAAAAACAACATGAATGTGATGTTTGCCAAAAGGTTCTGTCGTCAGCTTCGAATTTGAACAAACATAAAAAGGTCCATACAAGAGTAAAAAACATGTGTACCCTTTGTGGCATGACGTTTCCTTTCACGACTCAGTATGACATACACATGAGGCAGCACAAGGGCCTGAAGACCCAGGAGTGTGATGTGTGTGGGAAGTTGTTTCTAGAGCCCGGCAAACTGAGGATTCATATGCGTGTTCACAATGGCGACAAGCCGTACAGGTGCGATGTTTGTGGCCATGCTTTCTCACAGTCAGGTAGTCTGAAGTTTCATAAACTCAAACATACCGGGGAGAGTCCTTATGCCTGTAAGCATTGTGACAAGATGTTTCGGACCCCGACTAGGCTGAAAGAACACGAGCGACTACATACTGGAGAGAAGCCGTTCAGCTGCGAAGTTTGCTCCAAGTCTTTCAGGACATCCAAGATGCTCAGGAGCCATATCTTCACTCACGAGAAGGAGAGTAAGGCGAGTCAGGATGAGTCCGTGTCAGGGTTGTGTAATCCTGGTGATGCAGCAGCAGGTAGTCCTGGGAACAGTTCTGCGGTCTTCGTGATGGAGAGTTCAAAGGACACCCTGGCATCATCTGACCCTGGAGAGGAATCGTTGATGTCTGTGTCCGACTCTCAGTTGTCCTGCAGCCCTGCTGGGGACATGAAGGGCTCGGCTGATCAGCGACAGACATCATGGGATAATACGGATGATGGGATGACGGGATCTGAAGAAAATACCGACGACGGGTTGTCGCATGGTCCGATGTCCGGGTCATCAGATCGACCAAACATGACCAGTTCCGCAACGGAGAAGTTATGGAGGTGCGACATTTGTGACAGAGTGTTTACATATCTGTCCTACCTTGAGCGACACAAACTTGTTCAACACAGCGATGGCAGGAAGTACTACTGTAAGCCCTGCGACAGGATTTTTAAGTCGCTCATGGCCTTCCATGGCCACAAGTCTTTCCATACTGGAGGAGGGAAAGCCAACTGTGAGGTTTGTGGGATGGAGTTCTCCAACAGCCGGAGCTTGAACAACCACCGGAGGGTTCACACCAAGGAGGAGTATACTTGCGGGGTGTGTGAGATGAGCTTCGCTGAGGTGACAGAACTCCTGACTCACATGGAGGAACATGGCAGTTCCTCCTGAGCCAGGAATATGTGTTGATGAAGTCAGTTTGCTGATAATGTTTCTTTGTTGTTTGTTTGTTTGTTGTTTAACGCCGCACTCAGCAATATTCCAGCTATATGACGGCGGTCTGTAAAATAATCGAGTCTGGACCAGACAATCCAGTGATCGACATCATGAGCATCGATCCACGCAATTGGGATTGATGACATGTATCAACCAAGTCAGCGAGCCTGACCACCTGATCCTGTTAGTCGCTTGTTTGCTGATAAACAATAGGAAAATGAGTGAACCTGATTACCGTATTCGATGTAATAAGCACCCACTGCGATATTTTCTAATATATTGGCTAGTGAACAATCCCAATTAGCACCCCTTCCGATTGATCAATGTACACAGGACTTATTTATTCATGTATAATACGTATGTTATATGCATTCTTAATTATGGGAAATTAAATTCTGGAAAAAATATATCCGTCGTATATAAACATTTCAAGCTGTCAGCATAAACCACAAAATTTACGATCTTTCAACTCTGTTGTTTTTCACCAAAATAATATTCTAATAAGAGACCCCTATTTCTAATTTTGAGAGTGCCCTGGGCACTTATTATGTCGAATACGGTATATACTGAACAAAACAAGATAGATATCATGGCTATTTTTGGCGGTATTTTTTGGTAGTGAAGACTGACCTCCCAATTTCATAAAAAAATCCCCAGACATTTTGTGTTCAGTATCGATGGCTTGGTTTGCTTTACAGTCAATATCAATATGGCATTAGCAGTACTGTTCGATGAGCAATATCGTTCAATATATTGCCAATTAATTTCTATAATTGTAAATTTGTTTTTTAAATTAACAATAATTTTGTGAGGTTGCCAATAATGTAATGAGTTAATATTTAACCTGAATCTGATTATATGCACCTGGAAATAAATTAGCACCAACCATCTTTATTTCTATCTATCTTGAACTTTCATGTAGCCTTTGAACTGCCTCCAAGGTCTAGTGGTAGAGCGTCTGCCAGAAGAGCAGGAGGTCAGGGTTTGATTCCCGGGCGCTTTATACCAAAACACGTTATGAGCTGGTACTTGTTGTTACCCTGCCTGGCGCTCGGCATTAAGGGGCTAAAGCAAGGACTGACAGCTTCGAGTCAGTATACTGTTTCTGAGTGTGATATTTATGTTAAACTGCAGCATGATATCTCAGTGGGCTAGCACTATACAATCGGCCAAAGTCTGACTGGTTCAAGCAGCCACACACGTGCATACATATCTCGCATCTTGAACACGACGTTAAACCCCATTTCACCTAATCTCACTTCACCATGTAGCCTTTGGCTGTATAACTCTGATTTTGTGTTGGTAAATGTCCAAACTACCACTTACCCCAGATGAAATGACTCCTGAACACTAAATATTTCTCCAGGGGCTCGTCTCTGTGGGAACCCAGGCTAGAATGTGTCCAGCCCTCCATTGCTAGTCGATAGAGGTGACTAATTGGGAACCTGTGGAGCCTCGGGGTAGAATGTGTCCAGCCCTCCATTGCTAGTCGATAGAGGTGACTAATTGGGAACCTGTGTGGCCCACGGCTAGAATGTGTCCAGCCCTCCATTGCTAGTTGATAGAGGTGACTAATTGGGAACCAGTGGAGCCCCAGGCTAGAATGTGTCCAGCCCTCCATTGCTAGTCGATAGGGGTGACTAATTTGGAACCTGTGTGGCCTCGGGGTAGAATGTGTCCAGCCCTCCATTGCTAGTCGATAGAGGTGACTAATTGGGAACCTGTGTGGCCCACGGCTAGAATGTGTCCAGCCCTCCATTGCTAGTCGATAGAGGTGACTAATTGGGAACCTGTGTGGCCCACGGCTAGAATGTGTCCAGCCCTCCATTGCTAGTCGATAGGGGTGACTAATTAGGAACCTGTGTGGGCTCGGGGTAGAATGTGTCCAGCCCTCCATTGCTAGTAGATAGAGGTGACTAATTGGGAACCTGTGTGGCCCACGGCTAGAATGTGTCCAGCCCTCCATTGCTAGTTGATAGAGGTGACTAATTGGGAACCAGTGGAGCCCCAGGCTAGAATGTGTCCAGCCCTCCATTGCTAGTCGATAGAGGTGACTAATTGGGAACCTGTGTGGCCCACGGCTAGAATGTGTCCAGCCCTCCATTGCTAGTTGATAGAGGTGACTAATTGGGAACCAGTGGAGCCCCAGGCTAGAATGTGTCCAGCCCTCCATTGCTAGTCGATAGGGGTGACTAATTTGGAACCTGTGTGGCCTCGGGGTAGAATGTGTCCAGCCCTCCATTGCTAGTCGATAGAGGTGACTAATTGGGAACCTGTGTGGGCTCGGGGTAGAATGTGTCCAGCCCTCCATTGCTAGTAGATAGAGGTGACTAATTGGGAACCTGTGTGGCCAACGGCTAGAATGTGTCCAGCCCTCCATTGCTAGTCGATAGGGGTGACTAATTAGGAACCTGTGGAGCCCCGGGCTAGAATGTGTCCAGCCCTCCATTGCTAGTCGATAGAGGTGACTAATTGGGAACCTGTGGGGATTTGGGTGAGAATTGGTCCCCAACAACCTGTGCTGGACAAAGGAGGTGATGGATCAGGTAGTCAGGCTCAGTGACTTGGTTGATGGTCTGTCCACATCTTGGCACGTGTGGATGGTTGCTCGTTATATCCACCAGCGGATTGTCTACTTCAGACTTGATTATTTACATGCTGCCATCATATAGCTTAAATATTGCTGCCCATGCTGAGTACTGTGACGATAGTTGTAAATATAAAACATCAACTCATGAGAATAACAAGTCTTGATTATCTGTTGAAACAGATTCCACTTGGTGTATAGGGCAAAATAGAGGTAAATTATATGAATGGATCACTGGAAATCAGTGACGGCAGCTAGTGTTCTGAAGAAGGAGAAACATGTCCTGCCCTTCTGGTAGCGCTCACCACTGACAAGGTTAATTTTGTAAAACAAAAGCATTGTTTGCATAAAAAAGTAAGTGTTTGTTTGTTGCCTCACATTGCACAACGGCATGAGGGGCCGGTCGTCTTAAGGCGCCGCAATTCTTGGTGCATAGGGGGTCCCTTGGAGAAACCAGAAATCTATGGTTGTAGGTTCAAATCCCTGTTCGCCCTGATTATTTTTCTTGGTTTGTCACCACGATATTTATTTATACCCATGCTCCATGCAGGTGGCCCAGTCGTCTATGGCGCGGCTATTCGCTGTCCAGAGATGCGTCTTTTGGGCACGCCAGAAACCTATGATTGTGGGTTCGAATCCCTGTTCGGCCCGATTATGTTTCTAGGTTTGTCAGCACAATACCCGTGCTCTTGGGTTTCACCGAAGTGTTAAACGTCTGAGACCTGCATCATATCAGGCTTTCCTCCCCCATTAAGCTGACACGCCATGATATAGCTGGAATAGTGTTGACAGCGGCATGAAACCAAACTCACTCACTCATTCACTCACTCACTCACAGTGCACAGCAGTACCCTTACCATGCTGCGTTGGTCTGTAGGCAAACCAGACACTTGAGTGACGAACCAGAAAATCCAGTGACACGAAAAAAAATAAATACTGATTTTGTTCAAACTAAAAACGATATGTGATGAATGTCTTAATTGCATGGTACAAAGATGCAGGTGAGAATATAAATGGTAATCAAAACACATTGGTAAAGTTGCAAAACATGTCAATACATTAACAAATTATGATTTTGTATTGCAATGTGAGCATGTCGCTGTGTAAGTAAATATACATCTGTATGCAAGGCTCGAAAAATCTACTTTTTCGTTCGTATTGAAGGGTGGCAGTCTGCGCAAGGAAAGAGTGAAGGAACACTCATCCTACCGTTTGATTAAATATGTTTCAATGATATCAATTCATCTCTAAAAGTTTTCACTAAAATATGGCGGATAATTTCTTACCTCATGTATGTTTGCTTTTCTCGTATGTTTGTAGTCATAATAACGAGCTATGTGTCGCTTATGACATAAATAGATGCCATACTAGACAACTTTCTGTCAAAGAAATAACAAAAAGTCCATTTTTGCAGCAGGTCTCGGAACAATTTTCTAAACGGAGGTAATTATTATAAGGGAGGTAATTATTATAAGGGAGGTAATTATTATTATGATTTTTTTAAGCAACTTATTACTGATTCTCAAACGTCAAAGCGAAAGTGAATGCTTTTGTGGGGTAATGGCTGTTTAATCAGGAATGGCGGGGTTGATGAGAAAAAAACCATGATTTCATTACCAAACAGGCCAAAAAATGAATTTACTACAAAAAACGAAAACGAAATGTTCCTGGCTGAGTGACTTTGAATGGGCGTAGATGAATGTGGATGGCAGTGACTGTCAATTATTTTGTTCTCTCTGTTGTAAATATCCTCCACTCAAAGGTTAATTACCAAAAAATGGTAATAATAGCTGAGAACATTAAACTGTATAAAACTTTACAGGGCAAGTGAAAATATTGCAGGAGTACAAAATAATATATATCTACCTGCCCGCAGGACAAGTTGTGTTTGTACAGGATGTAGTAAACAGTGATTTGCTTCTTCGAGGGGTGTATTTGGTTTCCACTCTGTCCAAATAAGGCATCAGTGTCCTCAATGGTCTTGTCGTATGAGGCGACTAACGGGATCGGGTGGTCAGGCTCACTGGATTGTCTGGTCCAGACTCGATTATTTACAGACCGCTGTCATATAGCTGGAATATTTTTGAGTGCGGCGTTAAACAACAAATCAAACAACCAAATTCTCCATGGTTTGAGAGCAAATTCAAGAGATTGCCTATTCATTTCTAGTAACGTTCAATTTTTTTTTAAAATTTCCTTTTATTTTAATAACTTTTATATACGTTATCGATAGAGAATGAGGTCAAGGTTTTGTTTTCAAATTACCAATGATTTTGGTATCTTTTACATGTTATTGACAGTGATTGAGTCAGTGAGTGAGTAAGATCAATATTTTTGTTTTTGATTACCAATGATTTGGTAAATTTTATAATGTGTGATTGAGTGAGTGATTTAACTTCGCATCACAACATTATTTTTGCAGATAAGTTTTCTTTTTATAGTCCATCAATGTCATGAATATTGGCTATATCGGCTTTCAGTTCAACGATGAATGCTGGACAGATGTGCCTGTCTTGAGAAATGTAACGACCCAGGATAGATGTAATAGGTTGGTTAAGCATTGTTAAGAACCTTGACAAACAATGAAATTCATGTTATATTATTAATATATTGTTATGTTATTGACAGATACTTAATTACAGGGACTTTGTGGTTAATTTGCTAGTGCTGATAGTTTTGGTAGTCTAATTTTATCAAATTTATCAGTTTGGTAGAGTTTTATCCATGTGATTGTTAATATGGTACAGCCC